GATTTGTTTATCGGAGATTAAGATATTAGTGTGGGGGGGGGGACGGGTTTTTTCTGAATTTTTCCAGTTTTTTCCGGGCCTTCACATCTCTAGTCCTTGCACCTGGCTCCAACGCAGCAGCAACTCTGCATCCTCAGGCCTGTTCCTGTGTGGCTAGCAGCCGCTGCTTGTCCTTGAAACCTGCAACCTTGAATTGACTTCCCCGGCTATCCAACCTTTGGCTCTGTGGCGTACATTGATTCCAGACCGTGTTTCCAGTGTGTGGTCTCTGTGGAGACCAGCCAAGATAGCACACACTCTCTGCACGCCAAGCAGATGCTCCACCAATGAGCCTCTGAGGTCTTTCGCATCACCGGCTGCCTACCCTTTTGCCTGGAGATGCCAGGAATTGAACCTGGAACCTTCTGCTTGCCAAGCAGATGCTCTACCACTGAACCACTGAAGATCTACGCCTGGTCTACTGCCCGAGAAAAGACAAGGTGGCTAGCAATAGCAGCCAATGAAAGCACGTGTAAGATCGCACAAGTGTGCGAACGTGATATCCACCACTCCCACTACTCCTCAGTTGTAGGGAAGTAAACAACCTGCCATCTCTGCCAATGGAGACAGCAGTCCGCAACTATCCTACACAAAAACTGCTTATTCTAAGTGACCCAAGCAACAGTAATGTAGCAACCAAGTCCTTAGGGTAATTACACATTGTCTGAAATGAGGCTTTTTCAAGTTGCCTTGGGGACAATCAGAATTCCTCAGCGGGAGTTCCACACCGGCAAAAATCGGAGCGACAGCAACCCTTTCCCAGTACCGAGGAACAGGCAAAAAGGGACTGGCTTGTGATGCACGGCGTAAGGAAGTCCATCTCCACCTACACTACACACCTCATCAAGCACGGAGAATCGAGACGTTTTAATGAGAGACACAGAGTGCGGCGGAGAGCATTTACTAACCTCGTCAGGCGTGGCGACAAAATTGATGGCCATATAATAGCGATCATCTTCTTGGGAGAGGCTGAAGGTGAACTGATAGTCGATAAGGAGGGTGTCTGCACAGAAGTACACAAAAGAGAGTTAGGCGTTGTCTCGGTCTAAAGCCACACACGCAACAGAAAGGAGGAGAACAAAAATATCATGCCAATAGACAGGAGACAGAAAGAGGACTTGGAACACTGGGTACAATTTGCGTCGCTGACTCCTATAGAAGGACATTGCGGAGCTGGAAAAACTACAGAAGAGGGCAACTAAGGTCCTGGTCACCCGGGCCAGATAACGCAGCACGGAGGCATGGCTCTTTGCGCCGCCGCAATTTGCCCCGCCGTTATGGAGATAAGCATATGGAGCAGAGGTCCATCAGTGGCTATTAGCCACAAGGTATAGATAGGAACTCTGGGGCAAGGGATGCTCTGTCTTCTTGGTGCTTGGGGGGGGGCGTCTACAGTGGGAGGGCTCCTAGCGTCCTGGCCCCACTGATGGACCTCCTGATGGCACCTGGTATTTCTGGCCACTGTGTGATACAGAGTGTTGGATTGGATGGGCCTTTGGCCTGATCCAACATTGGCGTCTCTTATGTTCTTATTATGTGATCCGACGCGACGGTGGTGAAGCGGGTTTTTCCCCCGTCAGCGGGTGTTTCCAGCGCGCTCCAACAAGGCAAGAGGAGCGCGCTGGAGCAATTACACGAAGGAAGTCCATCAGCAGCCCGTCGCAACCCATTTGATAGAACAGTTTCCCAGGTACTTTTACACTCCAGATCTTCGGTGGTATGCTACGGGTTGGAGACGGGTGCGCCACGCTTGCCAGATGTTTCCACGTGATCGCGCCCAGCATCTGTCCCTCTCACGCGGCTACTTGTGCGTGTGATCGGGGCCTAAGATGATCCGGGGGTTGGAGCACCTTCCCTAAGAGGAAAGGCCAAAAAGTCTGGGACTTTTCCGTTTTGAAAAAAGAGACGACTAAAAATGATGCACGGGGTGGAGAGTTGGCTGAAATAACTTTTTCTCCCTCTCTCAAAATACTAGAACTCATGGGCATCCAAGGAAGCTGGTGGTTAGTAGGTCCATGACAGACAAAAGGAGATACTTCTTTACACAGCGAGTAACTAAAATGTGGAATTTGCTGCCAGAGGATGTAGTGATGGCCACAGGCACAGACAGCTTTAAAAGGGGATTAGATAGAATGATGGAGGATAAGTCTTACCAATGACTACTAGCCATGGTGACTTGGGAATGTTTAGTCTGGAGAAGAGGAGGTTGAGGAGGACAGGACTGCCCTCTTGAAGGATTTGAAAGGTCGTCATTTAGAAGAAGAAGAGAAGAGATTGGCTTTATACCCCGCCCTTCACTACCCAAAGGTGTCTCAGAGCGGCTTACAAACTCCTTTCCCTTCCCCTCCCCACAAGAGACACCCTGTGAGGTGGGTGGGGCTGAGAGAGCTCTGACATAAACTGCTCTTTTTCAAGGACAGCTCTGACAGAGCTTGCGACTGACCCAAGGTCACATCAGCAGGTGCAAGCGGAGGAGTGGGGAATCAAACCCGGTTCTCCCAGATTAGAGTCCGCGCACTTAACCACTACACCAAACTGGCTCTGAGTGTACTGAGTGGTTACTACAGGACCTGACAATTTACAAGCGATTTCGGGATGGGTCGGACACTTGGAAGATACTCCAGAAAGAAAGCTCCCCAGTCCAGTTACCTTTATTGGCATGTGTGACGGATTCCAAAAAGGGAACACCTAGAGAAAAGCGATGTGCAGACATAGGGCAGTGTGGAGAGATGGAATGTTTGGGAGGTTGATGGGCAGAAAACGGACAGAGAGGGGGTTGGAGGTCGAAGAGTGAGTGAGGAGGTTGGAGGCGGTTGGAGGCTAACAGCCATTGGGAACGGACTCATTTTGGGAAGAATCCCAGAGAGCGGTTTAATTGTTGGAACCTTTGGAACGTGTATCTGATTAAGGTTGTGCTGGAGGAAAATGAGAGATGTCACAGTAAAGCCGTTTTATTCTTATAAAGAACGGAGTCCGGTCACTAATTTCCGCCAGTTTTAAGAGCCCTGGAGTGAACCAAGAGAGTTTCATCACGAAGAACGAAACCAGTGGGTAAGTGGTCCCTGCTACTACCCGAAGCTAGCAGTGTCCCGCGTAAGAGTGGTGTCCAAAAGGTGGTGGCCTGTACGAGCCGTGACAGCATGTAACCCTTGCAAACCCATATACAAAAAAACAAAAACAAAAAAAACGCAGCATAGAATAATATCTGCAAAATACAGAAACAAGGAATTGCCAAGTAAGTATACCCATCAATTAAATAAAGGGCGAATAGAAATGGCACCAAAAAGAAATTTAGCAACAGTTTCCGTTATCGCAAGGTTTGGATTATCAAGAAGAATAAGGATCTTTAGGCAATCGGGATATTCTTCTAGTTGAGCCAAAGTAAAATTTAGAAATTTCACTCATAGCGCATGGTAGAAGGGGCACTGCAACAAGACATGGGAAATCGTTTCAATATGATCATTTGTGCACGGGAAACAGCTGTCAGGAAAGGGCACACCCTGAAAGCGGCCAGATAATAAGGCCAAAGGTAATACGTTGAATCTCGCCAAAGAGAGGGCTCTACGGAGTTTGGGGGTGTGAAGTTGGTACAGGTAAGAGGCAGCTTGGCCGACTTTAGGAGATATTCCAAAATACAGGGGTGAACAGGTTTTATTAGCGGCATTATACAGTGAATGTAGCTCAGAAAGAATGTTCCGGAAGCACGGGGAAGCGAGGTCAGAAAGGGGCAGATTTCTCATAGGCCCTCGGCCCCTCCGCTACCAGTCGTTCTATGTCCTCGCCAGTGTTCCCTCTAAGCTGAGTCAGTGTGAGCTAGCTCACAGTCTTTTAGCCTCTGGCTCACACATTTTTGTCTTCGCTCAGGAAGGAGGGGCTCCAGAGCAAACTAATTGATGCAGTGGGCCAAATCACCTGCTTACAACTTTAATGCCAGGAGCTCACAAAGTAGAATTTTTGCTCACAGGACTCCATAGCTTAGAGGGAACATTGGTCCTCGCCCAAGTACCAAAATTATGAACAGACGAAACGGGGGGAAAACACAGTTTTGTACTCACAGTAGCACGTTCCTTTGAGAGGGTTGCCCTGGTATCGGTTTTCAACCTCACACCTAAAAGAAAGAGCATTAATAACGTCGGCCCTTCCGTCTTAATTTTCTCTCGAGGTTACACCCATACAGAATTCCTTAAAAATCTCCTTGAAGTCACATCCAGCAAAGGGAGTCGACCGCTTCTTATTAAAATACGAAGACGGCGAGGCTAAATGTGCAACGGCTTAACTAAGAACAACGCGGCGGCCCGGACGACGAACACCCAGTGAAACTATAAAGACGGGGAGCTGAAACACACGAGCGAGAGCCCTGGCGCTGTCTTAATAAGCTGAGCTGCTACCTAAGGATCTGAAAGCCCCCGAAAACGCGTGAGGTGAATTCTAAAAAACCGAGTTTCCAAACAGGATTCTGTAGCAGAAGCCGAGGTGGAGGAGGAGAGCTAGAAACCCGACGGCTGGTATCCCAAGACCGTTTCTGTTGTTGTTTTCCCCCAAACATTTTTATTATCAGGATATATCATTTCCAACTTAAAAACATTTTCCCCTTTTATTCATTTTATACCCTTTCCCCCTACTATCCTCCCCCCCTCTACTTCAGGCTTCCCACAGTGCTCTTACCTCCCATCCAAATTCTCCCTTTTCTCCTCACTTATCCATTGTTTTATCATTACATCTATCAGGTGACATTATCTTAAACTAATATTTCTATACTTTCAACTACTTCACAGTTCTTATAACCTTAATAGTTATCAAAGCAAAATAAATTGTTTTTCACATCCCAGTATTTCTCCAAATACTCTTTAAAATCTTTCCAGTCAGCAAAGAATTCTTCCACCTCCAGATTTTTAAGTTTCATTGTCAATTTGTCCATTTCAACCATAAAAAGCAGCTTTTTTATCCACCCAAGACCTTTTCTGTAGCGCATCAAAACCATTTCAGGTGGAGAAGATTTCTTTTGAACTCCTTTAGGGCCGGCGTCCTCTTTGTTTCGCCAAAAGATCTAGTGTATTTTAACGCCGGGTTTTAAATCGACTGTTACTGCGCTTATTCCTGTTGCAGGCCGACCTGAGCCCTGCTTGCAGGGAAGGGCAGCCTAATAAATCCAACTTAATAAATAGATAATGATATACAAATAAATGCCTTTTGTTGTTATTATGGCATTATTATTTTTCGTTATTTACAGTCCACCTTCTTCATGGAGTCCCAAGGTGGATTCTGTAGTGTTAATGTAAGCCGCACCTCTCCCCCTCACCCCTCCCTCCCCTTCTGTGACATTAAAAGGGTCCTCCGGCTGCTCGGCGGAGTACGTGGCCCGCCGATCACCTGGAGGGCCCTTTAAACCTTGTGTCATGGGCGTGGATAAGGATGAGCTGACAGAGCCTGCAGAAACCACAGCTGGCCCCTCTGAAGCAGCAGAGGAGGATAGCTGGCAAGTGCCTGTAGCAGCTGTCTTCACACCTGGCCCAGAGAAAAGGAAGAACTGCAAGCTGAAAGTCCTCCTGACTCACCCCCACGTGTCACTCGTTTAAGGGAGCGACTGCGGCAAAACTTAGCAACCAGGCGAAGAGAGGCCAGGCTACAAGGGAGACGCTCAGCTAGCCCAGAGTTCTAACAGGAGCCTGGGCGATCGTGCAGCTGGCTAATTAGTAGCAGCATTTAACTCCACACTCTGGGCAGTACCCTTCGAGCAACGAGTCAGCTTTGTGCTGCTTGCATTCACTCTGGCTCGGCTGTTGCACATAGACCTTCGGACCCCCCTCCCCAGCTTTGGACTTGGCTCTGTGTTCCTGGCTCCTGACCCCGGCTTGGCTTTTTGGACTACGCTTCCAGTTAGTGATTTTGGACTTGGCTCTGTGTTCCTGGCTCCTGACCCCGGCTTGGCTTTTTGGACTACGCTTCCGGTTAGTGATTCTGGACTTGGCTCTGTGTTTCTGGCTCCTGACCCCGGCTTGGCTTTTTGGACTTTGCACTCTCTTCTTGGCTCCTGACCTTGGCTTGTTCTGGACTCCCTTTGACTGGTACCCCAGCCCCTGACACCTTGCAGCCTCCTCTCCCCCTCCTCCCCTCCAAAATTTAAAGGGCCCCCCAGCAGCGCTTGGAGTTCAAGGAAGGCATGCAGCCGCCCCTCTCCCTCCCCTCTCTCCACTCCCTCTTCCCTCCTCCCCCCTCCCCTGCTGCCCCACAAAATTTCCCCGTGCCCCACCCAGCCAAAATTTCTGGCTACGGGGCTGAACCCCCGCTGAGCTCCCTTCCCTTCCCAAACTCCGCCCTTCCCAGTTTCCACCTCAAAATCTCAGGGAACCTGCTAACTCGGAGCCGGCAGCCCTACACACTGGCAGCATCGGGGTGGTCTGCCGCATAAATGGGAGCACAAGGATCTTTGGCAGGCGTGGGGGATCGACCAGGATAGTCCCTTGCTGCAATTCAACGGCTCTAGTTGGATCTCTGGATGACCCCAGGGAACTTCTGGATTGCCCAAACCCTGATCTGGAGCCATGGCCACCCCGCACAGCAAACCAGCCGTGAAACTAACAGCACTTTCTGATGCAGCTTGTCATGCCACACGAGGGACGGCTGTGCTGCAGGGGGAAATTATTCCTCTCCATCCCGGAGGGTATGCTGAAAGGCTTGGGCGGGCCCGACAGGGCTCTTTAGATCCATGCCTCGGTGTTTTCATGACCAATGCTCCCTCTAAGCTGTGGAGTCTCGTGCGCAAAAATTCTACTTTGCGAGCTCCTGGCATTAAAGCTGTGAGCGAGCCATTTGGCTCCTGCGTCAATTAGTCTGCTCCGGAGCCCTCCTTCCTGAGCTGAGGCAAAAAGGCGTGAGCCGGAGGCCAAGAAAACTGTGAGCTAGCTCACACTAACTCAGCTTAGAGGGAACACTGTTCACGGCCCTGGCCACACCCAGCGGCACCAGCTCAGGTTTTGGTTCAGCTCTGGACCGAGCTGCTACTCACAGTTGACACTCCTCTCCTTTGATTCCTTTTGTGGTGCAGAAACACTTCCCTGAGTTTGCGTTGCAGATCGAGGCGTGGCCGTTACACTTGCAAGCTACAGGGGAGGGGAGAGAGAGAGAGCGTGTGAAGTGTTGGGGAACATAAATACAGACACAGCCTGCAAACCAGCAATGAAACCATTTAGTTGGCAACTTGGGTGGTTTCTCTCCATTGGCTCCGCGACACCATACCACACGGCGCACGCTGCGTGCCGCTTCACCAGTTTGCAAGGGTGCAAAATGTCCACGGGTGTCCTTAAGGGACCTCAAGCCTTGTTGTCAGCCGCCCTGAGCCCGCTCGCGGGGAGGGCGGGGTATAAATATAATGAAATAAATAAAATCATATAAAATGCCCCACACTAAAAGGTGCTAACATGAATAACACTGGTGGGTTATTAAATGATGGTGGTCGGCCTTCAGTATTCCGTCCTGGTGGTCAGCCCAAAGATCTAACCTTTGTGCAGCCGGCACTTTCAAGAGTCAAAGCTCCGAGCTTTACGTCAATATGTACGTAATTTGCAAGGATAGCTAAGTGAGATTCCCAGTGGAGAAGAGAACGGGGGCATTACGGTAGGACGCATGCTGTACTTCAGCTACAAGCATGGACAGCTTCAAAAGGGAATTAGATAAGCATATGGAGCAGAGGTCCATCAGTGGCTGTTAGCCACAAGGTATAGATAGGGACTCTGGGGCAAGTGATGCTCTGTCTTCTTGGTGCTTGGGGGGGCAACAGTGGGAGGGCTTCTAGTGTCCTGGCCCCACTGGTGGACCTCCTGATGGCACCTGGTGGTTTTGGTCACTGTGTGACAGACAGAGTGTTGGACTGGATGGGCCTTTGGCCTGATCCAACATTGGCGTCTCTTATGTTCTCTTATGTTTTAACCCCTGTGGTTGGCAAAGCCAGAATCAATGAACGCAACATTAAGGAATCAGGAGGGGCCCTCCTGACTACCCAGCCAATCAAAGAAGTTTGCCTGGTGGGTACAGAAGAGATGGCCTTTTCAGTGGTAGCCCCACGATTATGGAACAAGCTCCCCAGGGAAGTGCGCCTAAACCCGAAGACCTTCAGTCTTCAGGAGGGAGCTGGAGATGTTTCTTAGTTAAGACTAACGCAGTCCTAAACTGCGGTTTTAAAATGTTGGTTTTATGTATTTTACTCTGTGTGTTTTATCTACGTTTGTAAGCTCTGTAAGGACAAAAGGTGGCTAATAAATATTTTTAAATAAATTAATTAGAATTATGCAGAGGGAAAGAATATAAACGGACTCAGCTTGAGTAAATTACACAGAAGGAGACGGGGATAAGAGACTGGATTTATACCCCGCCCTTCAATGCCTGAAGGAGTCTCAGAGCGGCTTACAATCTCGTTTCCCTCCCCCTCCCCACAACAGACACCCTGTGAGGTGGGTGGGGCTGAGAGACCTCTTTCGAGGACTGCTCGTGAGAGAACAGCTCCGAGAGAACTTGTGACTGACCCAAGGCCACACCAGCAGCTGCATGCGGAGGAGTGGGGAATCGAACCCGGTTCTCCCGGATTAGAGTCCACACTCCTAACCCCTACACCAAACTGGCTTTTCTTTGTGCAAAACTTGAGTTTCTTCTTTTTCGTTAGTACAGCACGCCTACACACCATTGGCTATTGCCAACAACCAGGGAACGGAAGCAAAATATACCATCATTCAGTGCCGGCTTGATGCCAAGGATTGGGGGAGGGGGGAGAGAAACAGCGACCCCGACTTACGTTGGCAGGTCCCTCCGTTGGTGGGGTCTCCATAGTAACCAGAGATGCAGGTCTCACAGTGCTTGCCGGTGGTCAGGTTCTCACACTTCTCGCAGACGCTCTCGTTGATGCATTTACTGTGTCCGTTACACTGGCAAGCTGGAGACAAAAAAGGAGGGCGCTCAACACAACTACACCGGTGCCGTTAAATGTATCGTTTGTTAGCCTGGATCACGGGGGCTCCCTTGGCGCTCAGTGCTTCGGGACGAGGAGCAACAGGCAGTGCTCCCTCTAAGCTGAGTCAGTGTGAGCTAGCTCACAGTTTTTTAGCCTCCGGCTCACACATTTTTGCCTTCGCTCGGGAAGGATGGGCTCCAGAGCAAACCGATTTAGGCAGCAGCCAAATCGCCCGCTCGCAATTTTGATGCCGGTAGCTCACAAACTAGAATTCTGGTTCACAAGACTCCACAGCCTAGAGGGAACGATGGTGACAAGCAGGGCTATTTTGGGGCAGGAACGCACAGGAACGGAGTTCCGGTTGGCTCCCGAGTTGGCCACGCCCAGCAGTTCATTAGTATAATAGGCCACACCCAACAGCAGGAACTCATTAGGATTGGCTACATTAGGGGTGTGTGGCCTAACATGCAAAGGAGTTCCTGCTAAAAAAAAGGCCCTGGGTTTTGACAACAAACAAGGTAAACAGAATAAGAAGGGAAAGGTGGGTGTGGCTGGATGACCACACCTCTGGTAACATGGGGGTGCGGCCTAATGTGCTAATGAGCTGTGCTGGCAGGGGTGTGGCCTAATATGTTAATTAGTTCCTGCTGTTGGGTGTGGCCTATTATGCTAATGAGTTCCTGCTGGGCTTTTTCTACAAAAAGAGCCCTGGCTAACAAGATCACACCAGACTGGCTGGCAGCTTGATTCGGGACGAACATTCAGAACACAGCCGTGCCGCTTTCACATCAACAGCCAAACACAGCGAAAGTGTGAACAGAAACCACGGGACACGATCCTAGGTTACACTGCGTTCCCTGTGCTCTGGCATCACAAGGCTCACCACTTAGCCCGGGGTCCCCAACTCGGCGCCCGTGAGCACCAAGGCACCGGCCATGTGTCTTTAGAAAGTGGGCGGGGCCAGGTGGGGCGTTTGTCCAGCATGGGTTTTGATTGGCCGCTGGAGATTCGATTGGCTGCACGGATATTTAAAAACGCTGCTTTGGCGGCAGCCGCCGCCACGACACACAGGTCTTCACTGTGCGGCTGACGTGAAGCCATGGCAGCCGTTTTGTAAATGGCTCCGCCCCCTGCACCAGCCGTTTTGTGACTGCGCCGACCGTGCGGTGTCACAATTCCAAAGGTGCCCACAGACGCAAAAAGGTTGGGGACCCCCGACTCAGCTGTTCTAACGGGGAAGCCGTGGAGCCCGCGGGGCAAGTCCCGGGTGTCTTTTACAACTGGCTGTGTGAGCAGTTTTCTGAAAAAGCAGAGGAGGCATGCCCCAGGATGAAATTTCACCCTGACCCCTTTTCTGTTGCATCCCCCCCCCTCCCGTGTAAGCAATGATGTTCCCGTCTTTTCTCTCTCCCGCTACGCTGCAGGAGAAAATACTGCTTATTTTTTAAGAACTGGAGAGGAGGCTCAATATTAAATTGGAAAACCCTCGCTCCAAACTCTCCGCCGGAGCCCGAACAATTGCTGCCTTTCAGATTCTTCCACAGGCAGAGCCGAAAGGTTTGATTTTTGCCTCCCAAGGAGGCTTTTTCAGGGAGAAGATTTTCCCCCAAAGCCCTTAATCCCACCTTCTTTATGGCTTTTCGCCCGCACGCATCTGCTGCGGCTTCGGGGGTGTACTCCCCCCCTCCCCCGCCAGCAATCCCAATAACTGGGGATAACACTCGACATACTCCAACTTCACTGCACTAGAGCTGCTCAGATAGAGTTATGTGCAGACACTGCTAAGGGAAACTTAGAATGAGCACAACGCAGCTGGTTCTGGTCAAAGAAATCTTAGCCAATCGAAGACTATGCTCGGAACTGAACAGTTTCTGAGCCCTTTTACTAAACGACGTTTGCACACACCCCAAAAAAGAAATTAGAGGGGGGGAAACAAAACCGGCACCCCATTTCATTTCAGATCAACCCTAATCCTTATGACTGAGCAGCTGAGATCCTCAACACAGACGGCAGATTTTTCACATTCCTCTACACATTGCCACACATACAAAATTGTTGATGGGATTTCTTACTTAAGACCAGTGTTCCCTCTAAGCTGAGTTGGTGTGAGCCAGCTCACAGTTTTTTAGCCTCCGGCTCACACATTTTTGTCTTCGCTCAGGAAGGATGGCTCCAGAGCCAACTAATTTATGCCGGAGCCGAATCGCTCGCTCACAACTTTAATGCCGGTAGCTCACAAGGCAGAATTTTTGCTCACAAGACTCCACAGCTTAGAGGGAGTATTGCTTAAGACTGTACTGCACATAAATGAGTCTGAAATAAATTGCCAACTTCTGGTTCCATGTCTAAGCAATTTTTAAAGAGAGGCAATGCACCCTTTTCAGCTGTCCAGACAGAGCACCAAAATGTACGCGATGTCCCCGCATTCGCTTGGGGGACGTAACTCCAGGTTACAGAGTGAGTTTCCAATGAAGAACGCCTTTTAACAGCACCATGGAACCCCAATATTGGTCTGGATACTCCCACTAACTCACCACTGGGCTCGAAGGCCTGTGGTGAAGCTGGCTGGTAGACTCATAGTTGGTAGACTTGCAGAAAAATCCACTGTTTGGAAATTAGTATTAACACACATATAAACACCGTAACTGGCTACACATTACCAGAGAATCCCCAACTAGTTCTACTAAACCTTTGGCAGGAGTTAAACATTCCCAAGATACAGTGTGAGCTCATTTCAATACTAATACTGGCCACAAAGAAATGTTATAGCCACAAATTGGAAGATGCCAAACTACCCTTTGATAGAAGCCTGGTATTCTAAAATCTGAGATTACGCCATTATGGACAAAATAACAGAAGACATTAGGAGATCAGAAAACCCCTTGGCTACTTCCAATTACCTGGAGAAATGGTACCCTTTTTAAAAAAAATAATAATACTATTTTGGTCGAGAAAATCCGAATTCTTTTAAAAAATAACAGAAATAGTAAATGTATAGCCATGTTGTAATAAAAGAGATAATGTTACAGAGAACCAGGGGTCATTTGCTGCAGGAGCACACAGGAGCGGAGCTCCGGCAGTAAAGAGCCCAGGGGGAGGGCACCAATGCTCCCTCTAAGCTGTGGAGTCTTGTGAGCAAAAATTCTACTTTGTGAGCTACTGGCCTTATAGTTGTGAGCTACTGCATATCTTAGTTTGCTCTGGAGCCCTCCTTCCTGAGCTAAGACAAAAATGTGTGAGCCGGAGGCTAAAAAACTGTGAGCTAGCTCACACTGACTCAGCTTAGAGGGAACACTGGAGGGCACATGCAACAAGCCCCACCCCCTGCTCTCAGCAGCCCTCAGTCAGAGCAAGAAGCAGCCAGGTAAGTTGCAGAGCTCCCCCCGGCCCCCCCGGTGGCACCTTTAAGACCAAGTTTTATTCAGGTAAAAGCTCTCCCTCCTCTGTGAGGACAGATCTACACCCCCCCCCCCCCCAAACAGCTAGCAATCCAAAAGAGTCCAGTGTAGCCTGAGCGGTGGGTGTTGCCTTCTGACACACTTCCGGTGATGTCAGGGGGTGTGGCATATGCAAATCAGTTATGCCAATGAGTTGTGCTAATGAGCTCCTGTACCTCTTTTTCTACGAAATGACCCCTGCAGAGAACTATATATTGACAAAACTCAGAGTTACCTAGTGAAAGTTGGTTGTTGTTCTACTATTATTGTATTATTTGTTGAAATGATGAATGGAAAACTTTAATAAAAAAATATATATATTGGTCTGGACCACGGGGGGGCATGGATGGAAGCGGGTCTCCTGTCTACCCAGACTACCCGCACCATTCTCCCAACCTGAAATAACGCGGGAGGCAGAAGCATTTGGCAAATAGCCCCTCCCGCACCATTCTGGGTCAGAAAAACAGCATGGGGGAGGCACAAGCCCCTCCTCAGCCCCTTCCCCCCCCCCCACGCCACTGAGGTCTCGACCAGAATCAGGCCCCCACGGCACTGTAAAAAGGAGTTTCCTCGCGGCAACTCGCACTGCAAGATGGAGGTGCCACCCCCATGTCAAACTCATGGATACCATTGTGTCTCGCTTGGCCCCGAGAATACATCCCTGGAGACACGGCTCAGCGGACCGGAATCCCAAACCGGTGCTCTTCGGTAAGTTTACCTGGACAATGAATAAAGGACCAGGTATAATTGTTGGCGGCGAGACACATGCTGGCATTGACGTCTGGTTTCAGGTAGGATTTCCCCGTGGGTGGCGGAGAGGGAGTGGGAATCTTCATCGGACCCCGGGATGAGCCTTCGATGCACTTCCCCTTCCCGGTGTTGCTGGGGTCTGTGCACCAGCCGCAGCCGGGCTGCTCCAGACAATGCGCACAAGTGAAGTAGCCGGAGCAGTTTTCAGCTGTGAGGGAAGAGACGGACAGAGAATCGGTACGGTTGAAGAACGAAGCGCCAACTCCAAGGTTTTGCATGCCGGCTTAATCCAGCCGCCGCGCCAAATTGTGATTTGCGCCAGCCGTCTTTCAGTGTCCAAAATCTTCATTCAAACGCTCTGCACCATTAGTGAGCCATTCTCTGGAGAAGGGTCACACGGACAAACAGCTAAGATTTTGGATCATTGAGACTGTACAGACGACCAACCCGAACATGTGCAGAGCGCTCCTGAGAAGAGAGATATTTTGGATTCATCAATTGCAGACGTGGGCTCCATTTGGATTGAATGAAGATGTGGGCTGGACTTGCTGTTTATGAACATCTGTATCTGCTTTCTGTAAAGAATTTTTTACTGACCTGTTTCCCCCCCCCCTCCCCTGGTCTCTCTCTCTTTCTCTCCTCTCTACCCCCTCCCATCTTGTATCTCACCTGACTGGCACGGTGCAAGGTTAATTGGTGATTGCATCACCTCGGAATGACTATATATGGTAGCCCATACAGCAGCCTATAACAGAATCCTTACCTTGATGGAATGACACACATTCAGACTTTTGAAATCTCAGTTACCAGGTTTGTTGGTCAATTTAATTTTTTCATGGCTATTAGGCTACTTTAAATATAACAATTGGAACTACTAATATAATAATTTTACGATTTCATTTCATGGTTTTTATTTAGAATAATTGGAATGAATATGGCCATACCTAGGGCCCATCATTAATACCAGCAACACAATTGCAAACATATAAGGATACAACGTCTGGTCTTTATATGAGTGTACTAAAGATCTTGTATACATACGTTTGAATGTGTGTCTATACTATGTTGTATAGTGACCACTGAGGAAGGCCCTTTGAGGCCGAAACGCGTTTGGTCTTCAGTTGGAAAGTGTTGACCCATCATGTGTATTAATATTTGAAATCACCATTTGGAGCCTCTTGCCTCCTTTTCGCCTTTTGGTCTAGCAGCCCCTGGAGGAAGACCGATGGAACCGCCGTCCGGCACCCTCTTTCCCATGACTGTCAAGCCAAATCAGACCCCCCCCTTGCTGTTGCCCCCACCCCCGGTGACTGCTGTGGGCTTATTAAGTTCAGATGCACTAACACAGTGACATACCACATGGCTCTCTGACACGCCACCTATAGCTCTTCTGAGCACTGTTCCCCAACACGGCACAGACCCGCACCGCAACGAAGTGTGCCAAGGTTATTGCCTGGTGGAGGATGCGGTAGGCAGGTAGTGCCCCACATAGCAGAGGGCAGTTTGAGTGGATGTCAAATGCTGCTCTCAGAAGTCCCCTTGCTTTGGGGAGTGGCTTGTTAGGAAGCGGCCCTCTGAAAGGGGGAGCCCCAAAAGCCACGCTTCGTGTGCCCTTTGGGTCATGGCCACGGCGAGCTTCCTAGAGTCCCCTGATTACAACTCTGAATCCCTCCTAGCCCAGCCAAGGAACCACACTGTGCTACAAGGCTCCTCTTCCATTCCAAGAGAACAAGGCGTAAGGGCTGTGTGGACCCTCTTTTCGGGACAGAAACCCTTCGGGAAACAACCACCCCATCGCGAGAGTTCCAGTCCCGAAGCACAGCTCACTTACGCGGACAGTTGCTGGCGGTGTGCCACTCCATGCACTGGCCGTACGGGAAGGAGGCCACGTAGGCGTTGGAGTCCACGCACTGCTTCTTGTTGCTGCACCACATGCACTCGGGGTTGCTGCTGGTGCACTCGCTGCACACCGTCCTCGAGGCGCAGGGCGTCCGGCACTGCTTGGCGCTGTGGTTTGCTGCGCACCGAGAAACACCGTATTACCGTGAGAACCTTTCGACACGTGAGACCCTTCTACAAGCCTCTTCCTTTTCTCTTCTTCCTTAAGGAAATGGAGGGTGTGGGGGCCCCACGAGAGGCAACCCTACGGGGTCACCGGTAGTGTTCCCTCTAAGCTGAGCTGGTGTGAGCTAGCTCACAGTTTTTGAGCCTCCAGCTCACACGTTTTTGTCTTAGCTCAGGAAGGGATGGCTCCAGAGCAAACTAATTGATGCTGTAGCCAAATCACTCGCTCACAACTTTAATGCCAGTCGCTCACAAAGTAGAATTTTTGCTTACGAAACTCCAAAGCTTAGAGCGAACACTGGTCACCGGGGGTCAGCTGTGATTTGATGGCCCTTTCCACTAAGCTCAATGAAAACCAAGGGGTTTAGACTGGAGTGAGGCTGCACTGGTAATTATGCAGGACCACGTCCATGGAGCCCACCCGGGATAACCCTTAGTTTCCCAGTACCTACACCAGACCAACTCTTCGCCATCATTTCACAGTTCAGCTTCCAACCCTCTGCTTGTACACTACGTTGCCCTAACGTCTCAGGGGGGGGGGAGACCATGGTAAAGGGCTTCTAGCAGAAGATCAGTGGTACAGAATAGCACGGCGCAATGCTCCCTCTAAGCTGTGGAGTCTTTTGAGCAAACATTCTACTCGGTGAGCTAGCGGCATTAGAGCTGTGAGCGAGCGATTTGGCCGTCCTCCCTGAGCGAGGACAAAAAATGTGTGAGCCGGAGTCTAAAAAACGGTGAGCTGGCTCACACTCACTCAGCTTAGAGGGAACACTGCATGGAGCCCACCTGGGATAACCCTAAGTCTTACTTTCCCAGCATCTCCACCAGACCACTATCCGCTATCATTTCACAGTTCACCTTCCGACCCTCTGTTCCTGCACTCCATTGCCCTAACGTCTCTGAGAGGGGGGCAGACAATGGTAACGGGAAGGCGGTACCTACAGGACCGCCTTTCCCCGTACATACCCCAGAGAGCACTACGGACTGGGCCTCAAAATCGGTTGACCCTCCCTGGCCTGAAGGAAGCCAGGCTAGCTACTACCAGGGCCGGGGCCTTTTCAGTGGCGGCCCCTACCTGTTAGAACAAGCTCCCGGAGGAGATCAGGGCCCTGCGGGACCTCTCACAGTTCCGCAGGGCCTGCAAGATGGCAAACCACCTCTGAAACGTCTCTTCCCTTTAAAAGTCTAGCTCACCACTAGTAATGCCTACCACTAAAAGAGCTAGAACTTCCTGCTGCCAGACAATCTTCAGATCTCCTGGCTATACTACACACACACTGAGATACGATTATTTTTATTACTACTACAACTACTACTACTACTACTACTACTACTACTACTACTACTATTATTATTATTAGAAACACCGAAAATGGTCTACCAGGCTTTTCACAGACGCTGCCGTTGACCTGGTTGATGCACGTGGCCGCCTTCAGCCCTTGATTGCTTGGCTCCGCTAAGTAGCTGCAGAACCCGATGTCGCTTGGCTCCCCCGGCAGCCACTGGAGCGAAGTGTTCGTAAAAGGAGACATATCTTCCCAGCACCAGTAAGATATGTTGATCTTCCTCAGTCCAACCCAGGGCGTCAAGGCTTTGGGCTAAAGAGGAGAATGAGCATCGGACAAAAACAACAACAGGCATGCTTCCCAAAAAACACAACCCGTTAGCAAGTAGGTGGCTACAATTGGCTGCTGCCCTTTCTGTTAAGAAATGCATCTTGCTCATCATAGAATATTTCTCAAGTTACAAGCAGGGTGCGGGCATGAGACAAGTTGCTGGGTAGACGGCATGGGAGACGGGACTGCCTCTCCTCCAGCGAATCACAGAGGTGGAAGTAGCCGTGCAGGCCACCTAGTTAGAACGGATAAAAGGAAGTCCTTCTTCCCCCAAAGAGTGATTGACACATGGAATTCACTGCCACAGGAGGTGGTGGTGGCTACAAGCATGGACGGCTTCAAAAGGGAATTAGATAAGCACAAGAGGGGGACCCGCGATACTCGCGGGGGGGGAGAAGAGCCCCGTCTCCTCCACCCCCCCACCCCTTGATCTCCCCGAGGCGGCGCCCCCCGCCCGCTGTCCGCCCCCCG